GTGAAACTCATGTAGATGGCATAAAAGAAAACAGTTAATTATTTTCCTCAGGCTTTCTGTTTTCTCCTCCAATAATAGGGGTTTTTTCTCTTATTGAGAACTAAAATGCTGAAGCATACAACTCTCAGTAGCATTAACAGTACATACATGTGTTACTTCCCCATGTATTAAGAACAGATTGTGTCACAATGTCTGTCAAATATGTTATCAGAATAAGTAATATCCAAACTGTGAAAATCAGATACTAATTTTGCAGTTATAACACAAGCCATCTATTGTCACACTGCAAGCAACAAGAAATTTTTGCAAGCAGCTCTTCCATTTTCATCTAAATGGATTATGTTTGTGTGTGTACATGCTTTATAGTGCATGTAATTAATTTGTATTTGAAGTTGGCTTTATGGATTTCCCACTTAGGTTTAAAATTTTGGAATGGCTCAGTTCTATTGTAGAATATACCTTTCTGAATCTACTGGAATTGTATTTTGTAGCTCTTAAATAAATCAGTTTTCGACATTTGAAATTCAACATTTAGCACTGGAAAAAAAAAGCTTAAGTGCGGCAAAACTTCACTGCTAATTATAAGTCCTGTTGGAAAGGAGACAGTCATTGCTTTGCTTTAGATAATAAAAAGCTGTGCACAAATCATGTAAACAGCATTTATTTGGGAATAAGTGCAGAGCTAAGCTGTAGCACCAGATTTTTACAATTTATTTGGAGAGCCATATATTTGCATCTGACACCCCTAAACATCATTATTAATTTAGGAATTAGAATGTTTATAGCATTTTGGCATGTGTTTTGTGTTCCTTCAGAAACTTGGTAAAAGCACAGGAAGCCCGATCCAAAAAATTAAATTCATGCCTTAATCTCAGCACTGTTGAGGACAAAGACCCGGTTATCTGACAGGGCACTATAGTCTAGTAGTCACAAAAGAATTACTTGTATTTTTCTGTAAGATGGCGAACTGATGCTTATAAACTTAAGTTTCTATTTAACTTTACCATTTGTAAAGTAATAGCTAAGAACTCCCTTAAATCTTTTGCTTTAGGGACAGAACTTAATTTTCTTTGCAATGACTATTCAGTGAAATAGTAATTGAAAAAAAAATCTCAAAAAAGCAATGTAGGATTTAAAACTGCACAGACATATTTCCAAGTATCTTCTGTCCTCCCCAATCAAAATCACAGGATTCAAAAAGCTGTGTCTGAGAAGAAGCTGGGTGTACAAACCAGACATTAATTAGCCTTGTTATATTTAGATTTTCAAGGTTATCCTGTAAGTTACATATCTATTAAAAGTAGAAGGATGCTTTCTGCACCATAATCATCATAAACTCAAGCAGCAACTGTGCAGCAGTTGGCAGTAAATACTGAAAATCGAAGGTACCATTTCAATTTGGCCACTAGATGGTACTATATCCCAGTTGTTAAAGAATTAGTTGGCTACCTATTTGAAATTATAGCTGTCAATAATTATTCAGAATTGGAACAATACCATAACATTTAGTACTGATGATTTGTTTGCCCATTTTCCCCGGACATGATACACACACAAATATAGAGGATACATATAAGAGGTTTAGAAGCATTTCTTGGTTTGAGATGCACTAATATCACTTAATGAGTCTGTGTTCCTTACTAACCAATACAGTCGTAACTATGATATTTCAAAGTCACAGTGACAAATAGTGCATTTCCTTGACTGCATATGGTAAACAAAATACTCTTTTGGAGTCTGTGCTTCCCAGACAGGATCAAACGGTATCCAAACACAACCTAGTAGAAAGTACAAGCCCAAGTTCAGAGACACGATGAATTTCACACTTCAGGGATTTGGAGATGATTCCTTGTTGACTTGGAAACATTCATACCCACTTCCCATATGCAAAAAACAAAACTAAGTGCACTGTAGTGGTAAATCAAGCCCACGAAGTCCAAACCAAATAAAAACCATCAGCCATTTAAACATTCAGGTTTTATCTGTTTTACTAACTGCTGTGGTATACTCACTCCCAACAAATTATATATGGCTCCTTTTTGGCATGCATGTATCAAACCAAATCATATTCCCATAGACTTTCTGCTCCTCTTTTACGTAGTTTCTTCAGTAAACTGCCGTACTGGGTCCTATCTTATTGGGTCACGAGGCTGTGTACTGTTCGATTTCTTTTGCTCTAAAATAGTTTTCCTATGCCCTGATGCATTCCTTTGGCAAAGACTATTAGTGTCCTACCTCCTACTAGAAGTTAGACTTATTCTAACCTACATGTTACAGACTTATTCGTTCCTACATGTGAGACTTGATGCATCTGATGACATGAAGGTGGCTTTATAACAGGCAGGTCAAAGCCCACAACAGGCAAAGGCCACAGGGCTGCACTGCATACAGAAAAAATCCCTTTCAAGAGGGTGAATGCAGAATCTTGGCAGAAAACACAAAGTCCTCCACTGCTGGGAAATGCTAAATAATCCTTGCATTTCCCAACCAGTGTGGCAGGCACAGAAGAACCAGAAGTCACAGACGAGGTTGATTACTGTAGCTGACATGCAGGACCCCACTGCAAGAGAGAGCACCGTGCACTACTGCAAGTGATTCTTACACATGAAGCCCAAGATCAGGGACCACACAGCTCTGTGACACTCTACAGACCCGTGCTGAATACCACATCACAGCCATGCTCCCTCCCAAACCTTCAACCGTGTGAGCACAGGGATAACAGAGAGAGAAGAGAAGTCATCAGCGGAATGCTGCAGGGGATCAATTCACCTTAACAAACTCAGAAGTTGTTTGGAAAAAGGCCCTAGCAGCGAGGTGGAAAAGTTTGCTGAGGAATATACATTTACTCCAGGCAGGAAGTGTGAGGGCTGAAGGCATCGAACTGTAGATGGGCCTTAAGACTAAGTGACTGGGTAACAAAATGGCAGAGGAAATTTAGCGTAGATAAATCTGAAATGATGCACTTCAGCAAAACTGTTCTTGGCTTCATGAATAAAGTGATGAGCTCTGAGCTGCCTGTTACTACTCAGAAGTGAAAGTTTGGGATTGTGACAGATACTTTCATGAAAACATCAACTCAGCACATGGCAGCAGTCCAAAAATGCAAATGTTTGGGATTGTTAGGAAAGGAAAAAAAGAACAAAACAGAAAATATAATTATGCCAGTCTATAATGCCACGGTTTGCTCACATACTGTCTGATGTTCTGGTGCTTGAGTCTTGAAAATGTTTGGAAAATGTTCAGAGAAAGGCGATGATGATCAAGTGCATGGGATGGAATCGTTTCCATAGGACAAGTAATTGAGCAGGCTGGAACTCCTTATTCCAGAAAAGAAACAGCTTATGGAAGGAGATAAAACATGAAAAAAAGACAATGAAAGGATCAGATATGCAGAATGGGAAACCGGGCTGAAGTAGGGTACACTGAACACGACAACACCCATTGCTTCTGAAAGGTGTCCAAGGACCTGTTAGGTCCTGCCCCGTTGTGCTTTGTTCAGTGACACAACAGGGTAAGGAATCAGCAAATGGCTTCACAGGGAGTCCCCCTTGTCGAGCTTCCACTCTTCTTGGCGTGGTGGAAAGTGAGGCCAGGCTGGCAATGGCAGCAGACATTGACAAGGAGATTCTCCAAAGTAGAGGTCCTTAGATGCACCACGGTTCATTTTTTGTTAGCGAGTAAATTGTATGAATTAAATCAACCAAGCACTGGGCAGGCAGTTCAGAGGAACCAAAGAATCCATCAAAGACAGAAATGAGGGTCACTGTACTTTGAGAACAGGTATTGGAAAGCACTAGCTAGAACTTCACAGAAACCACACTTTCAAATCCTCTTAAATACAGTAAGTCCATGCCGTAACAGGGAGGATTGTCCTGTTGCTGGGATTCATTAACTCTTTAATTTTTAAAAAAATGTGTAGAAAATCTGAAATATATCCATTTCTAATAAGATGCCTTGAACTATCAACAGGAAATATCATCACTGAAATCCAGGCATGACAGTCTTCAAACATAATTGTAATTTCTTACCTCTAGCCATCTTTACACTACTGATATGGCAAACCTCATGTAGAAATGCTAAGCAGCATTCCAGTCAGCCCGCAGTGATGCCAACGCCATGCAGTGATTTTTAAAAGCAGGATTCATTATGCCCCCCAGTCTGTACAGAACAATTCTGTATGTGCAAATTCATTCCCTTTATTCCAAAAGTAGGCTCACAGACTTTGATGATACTGCTTTCCTGCTTTCTCCCTCCCAAACTCCTATGTTTTCTCTGGGGAAAGAAGTCAGGAGGATAGGTATTTCTGTAAAATAGCAACTAGAAAGGAAAAAGCAGAGCCTGGTGCCCTTGTTTATTCTACCTCACATTTTCCTGCTTCCAAGGATTATTTAGAGAGAGAGTTAGTCCTCAAAAGAGCTTCTAAGGATGTGCTTGGTATGGAAACACAGAGCTCCTTCATGAATGGTTGTGTTTTTCTCCACATCTGAATGATTCAGAGTGGCATTGAAAATAGAAAACAAATCCTGCTCTCCTGAAGAAATTTACGTGGAAAGAATTTATAACAGAAAATTGTCATAGATTATGCACCTCTTCATAGAGGGTATTCTGCAAGAGAGTTTGTATTGAGCCAATGCAATCAAGGATCAAGAAAAGCAGGAACAGCCATTTCTTGCCAGCAATTACTGAGACAAAACCTTGACTGGCTTCCTCCACACATCTGCTACTTGGCATGCCCAAGTCATCGCCAGTATTACTGCTGTGAGGGTGCCATCCCTCATTTTGCGTGTATTTTTAGTGCAAACATGTTTTGTAAATTGGAAACTAAAACAGCAGGTAATATGCATACGGAAAAGGTTTTATTCACATTATGTCTGATCCCAAATGTTTCTTGAGGCTCAAGAGAATTAGATTTTGATGAACCAAGGGACTACACTATTTTGCTTCTTTTCACCTGATATTTTTATGACATGCACCAACAATAAAAATTAGTGTTGACATACCTAACAATTGTTACCAGTTAGCTTGTGGCTTTTGGCATCACAGCAGTCATGTCAAGGTCAATTCGTCCAGTAGCATTGGCTTATTTGACAGGAAGCTGTTCCTCTCAGTTTGGAACCTGGAACAGATAAGCCATGGCTATAGTTAGCAGTAGAAAGAAGTATAAAAGAGAAATGAAGGATGAGAAGAGAAAAGAAAATATAGATGTCAGAACAAGTGTCTTTCACAAGTCATTTTGGAGACTTCTGTTTTAGAAATATCATAAAATGTACTTTGAAGTCTGTTATTGGACTTTCTGGCAACTACTGGCACATTAGCAGTTATCAGATATTGTAGTTAATTGTATTGTAAGGATGGTACATCATAATAAAAATAAGACTGTTTTTTTAGCAGCCTGCTCAGCTCAGGGGAATAACATATATAAATTGTCACTTCTGTAAGTTGCTACCTTTGCAACACAAAATGTAAAATATGACAAGTTCTCGGATATTATAGATAACTAAAAGGCACTTCTGACTAAAGTAGCAGTTGCTTATGTAAGCTAGCTACACTTATACAGAATTTAACTTCTTTTTTCCATAAAAGATACCAACTGTGGTAACCATTACCATAGCAATGCATTATGCGTGCTTCCTGACACAGTATCTTATGTCTCAAAATATCCCGAACCCAGTTATCTGTTCTCCCTGGATTCTGCTTGCAACAAAACCAGAAAAAGCATGAAGGTAGCTTTTGGCCTTGAAAATAGTTTTTCTGATCTTTGAATTTCCCTTATTTCTGGCTTTTTCCTAATTTCTGGCTTCTACAACTAGCGCAGCCTCGGACTACTCTAACTTATTTTTAGCTATTCTTGGCTAGGAATGCCTAAAAGGTTGTTCTTTGCATCACAAAGAGTTAGAGTACAGCAGTAGTCCAGCTAAATACCATCCTCAGGGAGCGGTGATGGGGTACTATTTGCACATTAAGCCATCTCTTCACTATCCAGAGAGCCTTTTTGCATTACCTGTGCTTCCCAGGCACACTCTGCATTGTCAGAGTAGCCCAAATACAGACAAGGGGATCACACCTCACAGCTACCTCTGTGTCTGTCTGTCCATCCATCCATCCATCCATCCATCCGTCCGTCCATCCATCCATCCATCAACCCATCCAGTATTCTCCTCTTAAGACTATTATTCTTCCCTCGTATAATAGCTTCCTCTTATGGTCACTGTACTTTGAGAACAGGTATTGGAAAGCACTAGCTAGAACTTCACAGAAACCACACTTTCAAATCCTCTTAAATACAGTAAGTCCATGCCGTAACAGGGAGGATTGTCCTGTTGCTGGGATTCATTAACTCTTTAATTTTTAAAAAAATGTGTAGAAAATCTGAAATATATCCATTTCTAATAAGATGCCTTGAACTATCAACAGGAAATATCATCACTGAAATCCAGGCATGACAGTCTTCAAACATAATTGTAATTTCTTACCTCTAGCCATCTTTACACTACTGATATGGCAAACCTCATGTAGAAATGCTAAGCAGCATTCCAGTCAGCCCGCAGTGATGCCAACGCCATGCAGTGATTTTTAAAAGCAGGATTCATTATGCCCCCCAGTCTGTACAGAACAATTCTGTATGTGCAAATTCATTCCCTTTATTCCAAAAGTAGGCTCACAGACTTTGATGATACTGCTTTCCTGCTTTCTCCCTCCCAAACTCCTATGTTTTCTCTGGGGAAAGAAGTCAGGAGGATAGGTATTTCTGTAAAATAGCAACTAGAAAGGAAAAAGCAGAGCCTGGTGCCCTTGTTTATTCTACCTCACATTTTCCTGCTTCCAAGGATTATTTAGAGAGAGAGTTAGTCCTCAAAAGAGCTTCTAAGGATGTGCTTGGTATGGAAACACAGAGCTCCTTCATGAATGGTTGTGTTTTTCTCCACATCTGAATGATTCAGAGTGGCATTGAAAATAGAAAACAAATCCTGCTCTCCTGAAGAAATTTACGTGGAAAGAATTTATAACAGAAAATTGTCATAGATTATGCACCTCTTCATAGAGGGTATTCTGCAAGAGAGTTTGTATTGAGCCAATGCAATCAAGGATCAAGAAAAGCAGGAACAGCCATTTCTTGCCAGCAATTACTGAGACAAAACCTTGACTGGCTTCCTCCACACATCTGCTACTTGGCATGCCCAAGTCATCGCCAGTATTACTGCTGTGAGGGTGCCATCCCTCATTTTGCGTGTATTTTTAGTGCAAACATGTTTTGTAAATTGGAAACTAAAACAGCAGGTAATATGCATACGGAAAAGGTTTTATTCACATTATGTCTGATCCCAAATGTTTCTTGAGGCTCAAGAGAATTAGATTTTGATGAACCAAGGGACTACACTATTTTGCTTCTTTTCACCTGATATTTTTATGACATGCACCAACAATAAAAATTAGTGTTGACATACCTAACAATTGTTACCAGTTAGCTTGTGGCTTTTGGCATCACAGCAGTCATGTCAAGGTCAATTCGTCCAGTAGCATTGGCTTATTTGACAGGAAGCTGTTCCTCTCAGTTTGGAACCTGGAACAGATAAGCCATGGCTATAGTTAGCAGTAGAAAGAAGTATAAAAGAGAAATGAAGGATGAGAAGAGAAAAGAAAATATAGATGTCAGAACAAGTGTCTTTCACAAGTCATTTTGGAGACTTCTGTTTTAGAAATACCATAAAATGTACTTTGAAGTCTGTTATTGGACTTTCTGGCAACTACTGGCACATTAGCAGTTATCAGATATTGTAGTTAATTGTATTGTAAGGATGGTACATCATAATAAAAATAAGACTGTTTTTTTAGCAGCCTGCTCAGCTCAGGGGAATAACATATATAAATTGTCACTTCTGTAAGTTGCTACCTTTGCAACACAAAATGTAAAATATGACAAGTTCTCGGATATTATAGATAACTAAAAGGCACTTCTGACTAAAGTAGCAGTTGCTTATGTAAGCTAGCTACACTTATACAGAATTTAACTTCTTTTTTCCATAAAAGATACCAACTGTGGTAACCATTACCATAGCAATGCATTATGCGTGCTTTCTGACACAGTATCTTATGTCTCAAAATATCCCGAACCCAGTTATCTGTTCTCCCTGGATTCTGCTTGCAACAAAACCAGAAAAAGCATGAAGGTAGCTTTTGGCCTTGAAAATAGTTTTTCTGATCTTTGAATTTCCCTTATTTCTGGCTTTTTCCTAATTTCTGGCTTCTACAACTAGCGCAGCCTCGGACTACTCTAACTTATTTTTAGCTATTCTTGGCTAGGAATGCCTAAAAGGTTGTTCTTTGCATCACAAAGAGTTAGAGTACAGCAGTAGTCCAGCTAAATACCATCCTCAGGGAGCGGTGATGGGGTACTATTTGCACATTAAGCCATCTCTTCACTATCCAGAGAGCCTTTTTGCATTACCTGTGCTTCCCAGGCACACTCTGCATTGTCAGAGTAGCCCAAATACAGACAAGGGGATCACACCTCACAGCTACCTCTGTGTCTGTCTGTCCATCCATCCATCCATCCATCCATCCGTCCGTCCATCCATCCATCCATCAACCCATCCAGTATTCTCCTCTTAAGACTATTATTCTTCCCTCGTATAATAGCTTCCTCTTACAGAAGTGAGAGGTTTGGGGTAAAGATTAATAAAATGGAAGTGTCAGTTTTTGAGAAGGGGTATGTGTGAGTGGAGGTGGACTTAGTCTGCATACCCACTGGTACTGTCATCAGTCACTTGGAATATGCATACATTCTTGCCATAACTTAATTTATATTTAAACCAGTCCTTGAGTCAGAGAGCATAACAAAATGACTGCATCTTAGTACAAACTTCACACAACACATTCTGTCTTAAGTCCTGGCTGTACTTAGAAAGATTACCTCTCTGGAAATTTACATGTTCTTTGCTGCGGTTCCACCCCAGCAGCACTGAATCATAAAATTGTCATAAAAATATTTCTTCTAAGAGTGCTGTTGGCATGCACTCTGCTTGCATATTGAGGAAAAAAAATGTATGAAATTATATGTAATAACATAATTTAGACCTTTCTGTCATAGCAATACTTCCATAAAGACACACATAGATTGCAAACACTTCTAGGTTTGAATACACATTTATTAGTCTCACCTGGGAACTCCAGGCACTGAAGTCACTCAAATAACATGAGTAACAATATTACCAAGAAACAGATGCTCAGTTTATGAGAAAAAAATAAAATATAAATCATTGCTGTTGCTTTTGTTACCATTCACAGTGTATATGGCACAGTGTTTTGGAAACTTTTGTGTTGGATATTGCATGAATAGTCATGTGAATCTCAGCACAAAGGTTTTAGAGTTCTTGCAGTGAAAGTCTATGTAGGTGTTTACCGAGCAATCTAATGATTTCTCAAGAGGCAGAGAGCCATACACACCATCACTGAAAGCAGCATTTCAATCAATCAAATTACTTTTTTTTTCCCATCTTTTAAGACTGAGCTATAAATAAGAAATTGTACTAGCCACCAATCTGGGAATAAAGCAAAGCATTAAACTTAGAATACCTTTTATACCAATATATTGACCCTGATGCCCATTCTTCACTACACTTTTAAACCTAAGTGGAATGTTGAACACACATATACAAAATTATAGCACAGGCACTGCAATCTTCAGGATGTTTTACAATGCCAGAGGAAAACTGACAAATGCAGACACAGAATTTTGAATTGATTTTAGAAGAGATCAAATAATTTGTAACCACTGTCCAATCTCAAGATTCATTTAATGATTTTTGAGAAAGCTATACATTAGTCTACATTGGCAAAGAAACACTTGTACAGAAATGGCCCAAATAAATTTTCATGAATAGATCAAAGAGATTATTATCTTCTACTTAAACATTTTTCTTTATGGTGCGTATGTCACAGCCATATAAATGATCTTGAATGCTTAAATTCAAGAGTTTCTTTTCATAATAAAGTCTACCCCATAGCTTAAGTTTTAATGGTAAATATCTATGAAGATTTTCACCTCCTGTTTAACCTCATTTATTGACATAAGTAAGGATTTGGGAAAAAAAGTCCACGGTAATAACATTCAAGTTTTGGAGTTTCATTGAAAAGTTTAGCATCAAACGCACTGCTTGTATTTTAAAAGTCTTACTTTACTGGATTAGTAACCACGATGGTTTTATTCGCTGGTTTATCTGTTCATTTATGGACACAGTTATAACTGAGACGAATGGAATTGCCTGCAGGTTAATTTGAACTATATCTTTATTTCTAAATTTATAGTTACCATGGGAGGGAAAATAAAAAACAAAAGCCCTTGCCAGTAATATAGAAAGCTCAGTAAGAACTGGTGATTGGTGGTCTATAGCAGCCAAAAGAGCAAACAAAATATCAGGGTGCAGAAAGAACCTATTGGAAAACTCTCCTCTGTAATACCATTCACTGTTCTTTTACTCTATCCCAGAAAAGAAGAAATAATAAATCACTAGGAATAAAATGAAAATTATTAGGCAAAATATATCATTACCCTAGTAAGCAAAGATATCTTTCTATCTGAGTTTGAATAAAGGGCCCATTTGATTTAGACTGGAGATTAGGAAGAGGCAAAGGTAAGTAATGGAGGATATGGAGGATATAACTTTTAGAGAAGTTATATCAAGAATCCCTTTTAACTTTGTGTCCCAAGACAAGAAAAAACGGAGTTTGAAAGAATAGAGAAGAACAGAGCCATTAACTATTATTTTTAATTTTTTTATCAAAATCATATGTAATCTGCAAATTTCATTGCTGCTGACATGATCAAAATCATTCATTTAATGGGATTCAGAACTGGATTTTATTTTTGCACATGTAACAAAATGTAATCTAGAAGAAACATCTCCCAGAAAGAGTTTACTCTTACTGAAATCCAAAGATAAGTCAGCTGTGGCAACACAGGTTGTGCACCCTATTGAGTCTGCATGGTTGCTGCAGGAAAATAAAATCTATCCTACTCTGCGTCATCTGCATTGCTTTAGAAGAGGGCTAAAACCAAACAAAAAATGTAGCTAAAAAATGACAGCATATGAATGACCACAGCCTACACCATATTTGCCAAAATAACCCTGCAGCATCACCTGAAAAATTTCAGAATGCAGTGAATCCTTGCCTGGTGGTTCTGCCCTCTATTGAGATCGATGCTGCACGGTGCCAACTAGTCCCATGGCTTTAGCAAGGCACAATCAATCAGCTACTTCAGGAACAGTCTGGTCCTTTGTGTGGACTGGTTCCCATCTCTTCTTTTCTTCTCAAGGCTACTTTCTCAATTCTAAATAAAAGGAGCAAAATAAAAATACTGATTGGAAGTTTCAGTATGTTTCTTAAATTCATAATGTCCCTAGAAACCATTAATGTAATTTTGCATAGAAAATAAAAAAATACTTTTTACCAGACTATATTTAAAAATAATGTAGGTTTAAATTAGTTATTTAATGTTAAAAATAAAAAAAATTTTGTCCTAGAATTACTGAATAATAATTTTTTTATGATTTAAATACCACAGAATATCTTAAATATGTTTTCTGATAGATCTGGGGCAGCAAATCCCTTCTGGACATTTATCTCTGAAATTACATTGAGAGGAATAAACAGCTGTCGGGAATATAAATGCTAACTCATCAGAATGCTGACTCAGTGCTGTGGAAATCAAAATATGTTCATACACTGCAGAGGTAACATGTCATACACCAACTAGTCATATTTTATGTTGGACAACCATAAAACCATTTGAGGTAAAATGCTGGAACAAAACTGGGGAGTAGAAACAAATTAGAAGTAGGGAAAATTTTAAGGTCCTTGTAAAGACCTGCCCTATGACCAAAAAAAATAGTAACCATCTAAGTCAGGATTTGTTCATCAGTCACCTTCAGTGGTAACAAACCTACTCTTTAACAAGGATTATCTCTTGGACCATCATGTGAATAAAGGCCCATTTCTGCTTTCCTTGCAATTAATAGAATATATTCATTTTGTGGAAGCAGGATTTAGCAATGAATGAACTGGACAATCATTCCGCAATGGCATTTTTACGCTAAGTGTCCCATTAGAGACATTGGTCCAGTTTGGTCACTAAATACAAGTTGAATGCTAGTGACTTCTTGTACTAAGATTTCTTAAGGGTAGAAATTTTTTGCAGGAGAAAACGATTGTATTTTACTAAAATACCTGATGTTCTGCCAAGAGATGTGAGATTTTTTTTTCAAGTAAGTTTTGTCCTAGTGATAAATTCTCTTAAGAAAATAACTGCTATCTAGGCATTATTTCAGGACTTTGTATCCAGACTAAATTTATCTTTGATACCTTGGGTCAACTATTTTGACTTCAGCTGAAGCTCTCTGCACTCTATGGTGAATATTTTGGCTTAGTCTGGAGTTTTGTCCAAGCAAGTAACGACCTGGACTAGCAGCTCACTGTATGTTTTCTGGTGGAACAAATTACGTTACTTTTAGTGCATTTCTTGCTTAATATTCTGAAATGCTATATATATGTGAATGTATATGTATATATTCCTAAAACCATTTATACAGTTGCTGATTTTCCCTTTCATATTTCTTTCTTGATCTGCATCTAACTCTTTTGCTAGACACATCCCTTACAGAATTCAACCCATATCTTATAAAAGACAAGTGCCCAGTCCTCTGAATATACGCTCTGCCATACATCCTGCAGCGATGTTGCAAAGGAAGAATTTGCTTTTCAAAAGCATGACCCTGGGAATTACTCAGCAATGATGGCTGTCAAAGGTAAAGAGCAAAAGACAGCAAGAAAATTTCTTTTGAAATATGACATTAAAGCTAAAGATTCTTTCCATTGAAGAAAGTCCCACCCCTCTGTCCAAAGAGAATCTAAAAGCAGAAAATCTTAAGCACTTCATACAATGAAATCTTTCGAAAGATAAATTATTCTTAAAGAAATCAAAATATTCATAAAGCCATACTAAAGCACAGAAACATAGACTTCCATTTTTAATTTTGTAACCCCAAGCTTTATTCCTTTATTCATTTCAACTCTTCAAGCAATCAAGATTTCTCAAGCCAGAATCTTTCCAGGCAGCAGAATTTCTCTGCTGGGCTCCCTGATCCTGTCGCATCTTTGTCATGACTAAGTTATCACAGGGTTTCACAAGGGAGCCCCAGGTTCTGCAAAATCCAATCTAGAGGCATTGTTTTATTGCCCCAGGTAAAGTAGTCTTGTTTCGTAAACTGAGTGAAATTTGCCCTGTACTGGCATGTTAGGCCTTCTGGTTCCAAATCATCCAGCTGTTACTAATTTGTTATGTAGCTAGTATTTCTTTGTGCTCTATGATCTATGAACAGCCAACCTTTCCGTGTATTTTTATACATCAACATGCTTAATAACCTATAACATTATAAAATATTGATGCAGATATTAGAGAACAAGGCTGCAACTTGGACCTACTTAAGGCTTACCATAGCTTACTGCTTTTGGTTTGAGAAATTATTTAGTCGAGCATATTTCTGTATTTAGTCCTTGGATACATTTTGTTAAAATTCTGTGAAGCAATTTTTAGTTACTTTAAAATAATTACCATAATTTAAATTTTGACTTGTGCTCAATATCTTCTGTCTCTTAATTTAAAAAAAAAAAAAAGCTGTACATCTCTCCATATTATTTTTTTTCTTTTTTCTTGCAATAATCTTACACAAGAAGAATAAAAGGAACTTTTTCTATTATACTCCTAGATACAATATCTGTGATCTTGCCTCCTAAGCTTCTTGGTTTATGAAGGATTTGGTGGTTTGGAAAGATGGTTATCTCACCCAGACTTTCACATCTGGCACCAAGATCAGCACAGACAGAAAGAATCTGAAGCAATTTAACCTCTTGCTCTAATTCCAACTTCTGTTGAACAGCCTTTCTTCAGCTGTTCTGTTTCCAAATTAGCTTAGGATTTCTTATGTCATGGTAGTTCTAATCCTTCTAGTTAGGGACATGTTATCCACTGGCAGCCCCAGGACAAGATTTTCACCTTACCCGCATACATTCTTCCTGCAAAATTCAGAGAAAATGATGGCGTTACATGTTTATTTTGTATTAGCAACTTCAATGAAATTGAAGTTGTAACTAGAGATGGGATAGCGGATTATTTCTGAAATGGGATTTCTACCTTGAGCAGTCTTGCCAAATAAAACTTCATTTATCCACACTTGGCCCATGGCTTCTGATTCTGTGGTTTAGCTTTCTTGTTTGTGTTAACAGTAAGCTTTGGATTTGCTACCGATCTCAGTGGGACTTTGAAAGGCGCCTCTTCTCAGAGCTCTGACTGGATTATGCAATTCTCTTCCATCTTTCCTCCTGACTTTGTCCTACTCCTTTAACTTACCTCTTACAGTCATGAAACTATAGGGGTTTCATAAATTTTCCAGGTTTCCTAAACCTTCCGTTGTGAACATTCTGTCCTGAATTTCCCATTCTCTATATCAGGTTTATTCCCTACCCCTCTGGCAATCTAGTCTCTCCTGGGAACATTTACCTTGGGGAATTTTACCCTGCACAAGAGCAGTTAATGACAAAGTCTAGTCTCAGCTTCTGGCACTTCTGTTTGGGAAATCTGGAGTATGCAGTAATGAAGCCTGATTAAGTATGGTTGGAGCTATGTGAGAATTCTGTATGATAAAAATAAAGATTAAGCATTGTTATTTGGGATCAGCTCCTCAAACAAATCTGGCACCTTCTATCTTTCCTTCTTCAAAATGACTTGTCTTTAAATCTAGTGAGTCTTTTAAATAGGAAATGGAGTTGATTCTCACCTAAGGTCTGACACTAAATTTTTTGTGATAGCTCTCTTTATATCCATTTTAAATCAATGTAAACTCTCTGAGTAATAGGAATTTTAAGAGTGCCAGTGCCGCAGGATAATAAAAACCTGGCACAGAGGCACTGCTGTCATGGAGAAATGTTAGGTTGTTGCATTAACTAATAACAATAGATGAATTAATCAGTTTGCTTGCTTTTCTTTGCTGCCAGCCTGGTAGACTGTGATTAAGTTCTCTATTGCTGGGCAGGTTGAGGGACTTATTTTTGTCTTATTTGCTTATATGTCTATTTTTCTTTTGTCAATACAATCCCCTTCCTATTCTTACGTCTCTATAGACATCTCCCTCTAAGTGTTACACTTGTGATAAAGAACAGTGTCAGAACAACCACAGTTTCCCTTGGGATGCATTTGCTCATTCTTTTTATCTGGATCACTTAAAATCTTCAAAGACCAGCTGTACCTGGGTATTAATGCTCTTTCAGAACCATATGTTTCCCTTCTGCATAAAACCCATGTAAGGGGGACGCTTACATAAAAATCTTGCTGCAAATTATTTCCGCGTGCTCCTTCTGTAAGGGATAAAGGATAAGGAACAAGCAGGAACATGATTTTAATCAACCCAAGCAAGACATAAGAAATCCTATAGGAAATTTAAACATGGGTAGATCTTTCCCTTGCATTCCTCCAATCCTCCCTCAAAGTAACGGTAAATACTGCCTGCAAATAAGCCCCCTCTATTCAGCTAAGTAGAAATATAGGTAGCTCTTTTAGAAATAGGCACTGTTGGGTTTTGCTCGATGTGTTCCTCAGTTACAGAATATATATGTTATATATTATGCTATCCATTGCTACATAAACCAGACAGACATGATGGTTACCTGATAAAGGAAAATTAGATTACATACAGACCTATCCCACTCTGCTGCATTTTGAAACATATTCTACATACAACTTTTGCCCATTGGCTTCCTCTACTTTGCACAAGCAAATATGCCACCGCTATTAGTAGAGACAGAAAAATAAAGGCAATATGCAGCAGGCAGGCACAAGAGGATAATTTAAATTCAGTTTTGAAATTGTCTGACTTCCTGGGTTCATTCATGCCTTTAATATTGTTCTTCTATACTTTATGTGAATTTCCTTATAACTTTACCAACAGTTATTACTGAAACATAGGTAGGAGGAAGTGTATTCCTTCTACAAAAAAATGTGAAAAAAAGGAACAATATATTTATAAACGACCTGTAAACCCTGTTCTTATAAACAGAGCTCAATTATGTGTGTTTCCATTAATTATTCATAAGATTAAGGAAAATTGGCATGTGCAAGCCAGGTGATAGAACTCTTATTTCTTCTGGGTTGACAAGGATAAATAAAAATAATTGTATGTAGTAATAACTAGCAGTGTCTGGTAAATACAATGAAGTTATAGAAAGAAGGAATAATATCTAGGGAGGGGTGAGTTTGCTTCTTCTGATGGCTGGCTATATGTCAAATGCACAGCACAATTTATGAGTAACTTCAGTGCTGCTGCTAAACAAATGGAAGACAGCAATGTCACTCTGTGTAGGTGATAGAAGATTAACTTCCTTGGTTCTAGAACACTTCCAACAGACTGCAAAGTAAAATTTAGCTTATGACATTGGAGGCAGAAGCATCAAAAAAGGAAGCACATCAAAAACTAGCAACAAAAACTAGCAACAAACTCTCTGACAAGGTCTCAGGATGTTTCAGTGTTGAGCGTGCAGAAGCAGCTAAGATGAAATCTACAGGGCTCTTTCCTTACTAGTCTCTTTCTATTTAATGTTAGCCAAAAAACATGTGAGGAACATTAACATGTGTTCAAGGTGTCTTGATAAAAATAGTGGAAAATATTCTCCTCTTGTTCCATCTAGTGAAGGCCAATTGAGTTCAGAGGGCAAACGGCTGGCTGCTAGACTAAAGCATGCTGATGAGATTCAGAGAAACACAGACTGCGACAAAAGGTGCTAAGAGCATGTGCTGTAGGTCAGAAGTGGTGGAATAATTTTTAAATAATGTTATATACCAGAGCAACAATGTTTGTCATTGGTGCCTGTTAGGTGTGTTAACAGATAAATGTTATTTGTCCAGTAGTATGACAATGCATTTGTAAAGAGAAAAGTAGTGTCTCTCAAATTGGCGTTCGTTGTCCTGTAAAAGACCTATGGCAAAGAAAACGCAAATTAAATCTTAAGATTTCATGAAGATTCAGATAACTCTTGTAGCAAACTCCCCCAGAAATTCATCAGTCTCAAGGCTGGTGTTATTCCCCATGATACTGCTTCAGAGAGGCTCGTATAAATTTGAAGATGACAGAAAGGGGAATGAGATTCTATGCATTATATTTAATTTAATCATATTCACTCAGATTCTTAGCTATGACCTTGCATTTGGTTGAATTTGTAATATAGTTCACCAGAGAGAAGCTGAGCTTCTGGAGCATCAGATTTGTCAGGAGATGTCAGATGTCTGCATCAAGTAGGATGAAAAGTAACTGAGAAATGACATTGGTACTATCCTGATTTTAAATCCATCAAAAGAATTAAACTCCTTGCAGCACTGGGATACTTATATAGAACTTTTCTTCCTTGCTACTGGACAACTCTATTCCGCTGCTATGCTGGATGATTTTTCTTAGGGTGCTTTCCACCCATTAGGAATTGCTGGGATCAGAGCTGCGTCAGTCAGTTGAAAGTTTTATTCTGGTAGACCAGCACTACGCTGTCAACATTCACAGAAGTCAGTGGGAACCAAAGGTATTTAGTACATCACATGATCAGATAACGGGTGCAGCGCGATGCTAACACAAAGATGCTTTCAGAAGCTGCAGTAGAATACATCATTTAAAAGTAAGACAGATACTTAGAGATAAATTCACATGAAAATAGAGGAAGCCAAGAGCAGAGACATTTTTGTTCTGTTCACAATGTAGATAGCACAGTAATAACATTTCATAAAAGCCCAAGACAGATGGTATGTATGTTCTTTGCATAATATGATAACCAGAAACTTATCTATTGAAAGGAGTGAATACAATACAATGTGACCCACCTTAAACTTTGGCTTTAGGTTCACAGGAAACCTTCCCTCGAAACAGCTGCAGAGCTTCTGATTTATTGCTGCTGTCACAATGATGTGCACAGATTTCCAGACTGTGTTTTGCAGTGACTACTTGCAAGTGTTGGTATTTTTGCTTTGCTCCTACAAACACTATGTCTTCTGTCTTCTACAGAGATCTGTGCATTTCCTTTTAGTGTCAGTGTACTCCGGTACACATTCAAACTGTCAGCACTGCAAAAGGGTATCTCCAGCCACTGCGAGGTCACTCACAATAAGTGGAACATCATCATTTTTGGCTACGTGAGCAGATATGAGGCTTGAGTTCATTACTCCATTTGGAAATTCACTGCTATTTATTTGTTCTGGTGTTTGGTCACTGCTTTATTTATTCTATTTGTTTGTCACTAAAGTCCAGGAAAGGTTTTGGAGGAGGAATATCACACTAGATTTGTGAGGTATCCGCTGATTTTCTTCAGAGAAATGTGCTGAGCTTCTGTAGCATTTGTATCTGTCACTTGGGAGTGAGAGCAATGAATATGTGCTCTAGCTGCTTGGACAGTTGGCTGGAAGATAACTGCCGTGGGTTTGAGAGTGCCCTTACTCATTATCCGTTAAGCAATGGTCTTTTTTGTGTGTTCTGGTTTTCAAATCTCAGTAGTGGTGCAGATGGTTCTGAGGAAGAGTTTGCACTACTGCAATAAAATGAACAGATTTGCAGAGATGTTTAGGGTGCCAGGAGAGATCTCTATTTATGGCTCTTTTAGTTCATCTTCAAAATTTGTCCTTTGTTCATTGTTGCAGAATTTTCACAAAATGAAAAAGTAGGGTTCTTAAATTAAAACAATAAACCCCAGAGCTTTATTTTCATTTTTGTTGCATCCTCTCTTGCTGCTCCAAAGACTGGAGAGCCAAGGAACAGCTCCCAGAAAACCACAGTGTTAAGAACCAGACCGATTCATAACTGCTTGGGTGCTCTTTACATGCAGATGGCAGGTAAATTGCTTGGTTGGCAAGAGAGCAAGTGAGCTCTCAAACCTGCTAGTGTGTAATGAGAAAAAAGGGTTGTAGGTTATAGCGAGAAGAGTAATTACACGGTAACTGCTAACATGGTGTATGCTGGCATTGTAGCAGTGCAGATCACAGCAGGACAGATCTTAGGACAGATACTATCCAGGTCAGCTCCAGGAAAACACTCATTAGAAATATTGCTTCCAACACTCACCAAAATGCATGGACTAAACTCCACTACCAGCCTCTCACATGCTATAAAATAATGACTTCAGTGTGGCCTTGTAATGTTATGCCACTGAGTACACCTGACCTTAATGGGGTCTTGCTTCTTCTTTGGATGCTACAAGCAAAAAAGTTAAATAATAAGTGCAAACAAAGGACAAAGACAGAGAGTGTGTTAAAATATAACTCATTTCATCTTTTGCTGATTCATTTTTGGAAGATGTTAGGAAGTAGAAATATTTCAGTATAAGAGAGTACTATCGTGATGACCAATTATAAGTTAGATAAATTAAATCTTCTACAACATTATTGTACACATTTCCGTTACTTTAATGCCTAAAAACAACCAAAAGAAGCTGAACAGATCAGAAAAATGTTACATAAACTTCCATAACAGCAAAAGGTGACTTAAGTCTATTTATCTTACCAGACAAAATCTCAGAAGTGCATTATTTACTTTACCTCATTCTTTTGCTTAAAGCCAAACAACCAAAACACACTGCACCCCACAATTCAAACCCAGAACTTTTTGTTCTGTGTTAAGGGAAGAACAGTAAGTTGTTTAATTCTCCCCTTTTTTCCTTTTGCTATTCACGTGTTTTCTCCAGGATGTAAGGCCTTATGCAATTTGATAGTGTAACATCAGGAATGCCGTAACAGCAGTTTTATTTTTATACTGGGGCAATTAAAAAAAAAATTGGTCTACTCACAGCAAATGTGGAGCCAGATCATCTATGCCAAAAGTAGCAATAACTGCAATGTATAAGAGAAGCTAGAATTGATTGTGTCTTCTCTGAAGCAGAGGACAGAAAATTGCTTATTTGTTATAAAAATCTGGTCTGTTGCAAGATCGTTAATCTGCACATGAATTTTTATCCTATATAAATAACTTATGGAGCCTGAAAGAGTCCTGACACCAGTTAGTAAAAGAATATAGAGGATTGTAAATCCTTTATGTAGTCAATAAAGTAAAAAAATACAAGCTTGATCTTAAAAAATACCTGTTTCCGGACTGAACAGATCTGTTGTTTATGTTGTATTAGATGCTCTTGAAGGAATCTAAAGAGAAAAAATGTTTTATATGCTTAATTTCCATATTCCTGAAAGAATTTTGATCAAGTTGTTTATTATTTTAATGACATATTTCAAATTTTTATCACATTGTTTTATTAAAAATATTGTATATTCATTTGGACCAATATTTTCAAAGTTGAACAAGAATTTGGGATATCTAGTCAGACATATCATATATTGTCTGAACTTAGGCTCTCAGAAATTGGAACATTTTTTAAACTTTGGCCCAAGAGCTCCTTTAAGCTGATTTTGTATCTCTCTCTTTTTTTTTAAACTATATATACACTCTTCCCCTGCCTCTCACCCTGCACTTAATGGGTGGGCTTCATCTCCCTGGAATGTTACAAATGCTACCTCTGCTGTTTTCTTAAAATTAAAAACCCAGTGACCAGAAGCCCAGATCTTGCAGACTCTTAAGAGCGTGAATAGCTTTTGTTCTTGAAAACAGTCATATTGGATTTTTGAAAATTTTGTAGATGCAAAGTGTAACCCACTACTGCATTTTGGACCTAACCAAATGTCTCCAGTAGGATAGGATACCACACCACTAGGGTATGGCACAAGCCACTTACTGATGAAAGCATAAGCGTAGGAACCAATCCTTCAACCTGATTCCTTGGTGTAGGTGTAGTCCCACCTACTCACAGAAATAGTTCCCTGCAGCATCAAAGCTTTTGTTATCAGGTTTAGCTATAATTTTTGGTTAGCTTTTCATTTTTTAATTCCTACCTGCTAGGTTTACTGTGTGTATCTTAAGTTTCATGATCTATCAGGGTGTTACAACAGACAGGTCTATAATAACAGTATAAACACTTGGGAAACAGATCTGCAACCTACAAGAAATTTCATGTAGATTTTCCTACAGTGGAATTACAGGAACATTTGTCATATATTAATATTGATAGATATTGAGCACTTACACAGTTAAAACCATACATTCAAATTTAATTCCTTCATCCACATTATGAAAGTCTTGTTTATCATTATTTTATCATTTATACTCTTCATTTTCATTTTATCTTTTATTCAGACAGGACAATTAAATGAGTAGCTTGCAATGCTTTAGTTTTTTTTCTGTTTGTGTTTAGTTCCACTTCTCTCTGTCCCAAAGAGCAATACTTGACTATTTCTAACTATTCTGGGCTGAATTATTTGATTAAAGGTTTGTCAAAAAAAACCAAACCAACCTGATTAAAATCAGGTTTAGTGTGATTTTTAAAAAATTGAATAATTAGCATAAACAATATCCCTGTGATAAGCTCCACTAACATTTTTGTGTTTGTTTCATAGTAGATTACTGTATACTTGCCTCTAATTATAGTAAATCCTATTACATTAATTTGCATTGTACTGGTAATCTGATTAAAATAGTATAGCGTTAAAAGTCATATAGATTGTAACGAGAACAGCTTTTCTCCTGAAAGTGAAAAATGTTTCACTTTTTTTTTCACTTTTTCATTTGCAGTCAATGTTCAAATATACACCTAGACATATAAAATAGTCTTCAACTAGGATTCTGAACTATTTCAATACATTCATGAAACATCCAGCTCGCCTTCAGGCTTTGTATCTCATGGATGTGGAAACATTCCTATCAGGATTATATCAAAGATATTAATGAAGCTAAAGAAGGGTCTGAATTACTACTAATTTATAAAATGAGGCACGCGTATAATTTTTGACAGGATAAGCTCCTTAAATTTTAGGAATACTCTCTCATTTCAAGGAATACTCTCTCATTTCAGTCTATTTATCCTGATGTGTACAGGTACCATACACAGAACTCACTATTCAACTAAAAAAATCGTAAAGGAAATGTATGGAAGTATTCTTTCTAGACAACTGAGTACAGCCTTATGTATTTGGTCCTCTTTCCCAATTTTTCACGGTGGTTCTATAACATTACTACCATAACAGTTCAGATATATACTTTTTTTTTTCTCCCCTCAGCCTTCAAAATTCTAAATTTTTGTTTTTCCTAACTCCACACCCTTGCTTCAGGGGACCATCATTATCCCTTGCTTTTCACAATCTCCCCTCCTCTTTTAAATATTGTGTGCTTGGAGGCTTCCCCATGAGGCATAACATCTGAAAATGAAAGCCATTGGCAACTCTACATCCCAGAATGATAACAAGGTCTGGTCACACCTCACCTCAGAGTTACATACTCTTGCAGTTAGCAAGACTAATTAATTTTTGTGCTGAGACTGAGATGTGTTGCAGATGGCAATCTATTTCTTAGAATCTTTTCTGGGAAGTGATGTTACTTACGCTTCTTTTCTTATGCATCTCACATTGAAATTGTATGCTTGGCGATTTCTTGCCTCCAGTAGTTTTCTACATGAATAAGCCGTATCGGAGAGCACTAACAGAATTCATGCATATGCTTATTTTTTTCTACATTAAGCCTATTTTATCCTGTGAGAGGGTCATGCTTGTCAGGCATAATGTGATATTTGGATAATTTTGACTTAGGGTGATTTTTCTTTTTTTATTTATTAAGAGTAAAATCTTAGAATTACAAGTTTGTAAGAAATGGGTAAACGTAAATGTGGCAGTACAGGTCTGCTTTGCTCCAGCCTGGATTTTTCACTTTAATAGTATTCTTATTTTTGCAGTACTCTAAAATTTGACAGTAACAGTATAAAGCAGTGCCACATCGCACCTGGTAGAACAGCACTAACGTTATTTGTGTAAGAAGCCATTACTAAATAGCCCTGACTGCAGTGAAACAGGGATATTTGCTTGCTTGCAAGTTTCTTGTAAATATTTCAATTGCTTAATCAAGCAAACCATTTCTTGGTATAATCCCTAGTCAAATAAAAGTTCTGTGAAGATATTCTTCTTCTGAGAAAACGCAGTGAACATTCTTTCCTTTCAAAGCAAAATTATTTACCTCTTTGTATGTTGGCAGCTCAAATGAATGACCAGGATAAACTGTTTCAGAAAATGCAAGTTAGTTCTAAATGACTGTGTCAGTTAATTACTATACCCACTTAGACCCCTAGTTTTCCGCCATCAGTCAAGCTAGCCTGTCATGAAAACAAAGAAATGTGAAAACTTTCCCTTTTATAGATGGTCAATTGTGCAGTAAAATGAGATGGTCAAATTCCTCCAGTGTTTTTGTTTGTTTTTTAAGATGGTACTGTATGTCTCTTTATAGATCTTCACATAACGCAGAACTTATGGAAGAAACAGTAATAGACCAGAAAAAGGCTCTGAATTATATACAATGAACGAATTAATGTGGATATAGAAAAGCCCCAGTAGATCAGAAAAAGTCACAGAATCCTGTACTGTAAATGCATAGACAGGAAACACACACACACTTTTTTCTTACTTTTGAGGAGGGAGAAAATGACCCCCGGAGTCACTGCATCTGACATACTCGTAGATTTTAAGGAACTCTTTGGCCTTTGACAGGTATGATCCCTTTCTTTTTCCTTCTGGAAAGAATATGGGAGAGGTATGAAGCTTACACGACAGATTGAAATGGCAAGAAAGTCTGTTTCAGTAGCTTTATTGCCTGAAGGATCTGCATTAATGTTCTTAGTTAACATAAATCTTTATTAATATTATGATTATAACTGACTTAACTGTACAAATTAACAGAATAAAATATTACCCTCTTTAGTAAACAGGAAGATTTAGATTAAATTAGAGCAGAGATGGAGATCAGTCATCTATTGTCTAATTTTAATGTCAGTGTTGTGTTGTATCAGCCTCTGGAATGTTGCCACTTTACCAACTGAACTGTGTAACAAAAAGTTCTCAAATGACATTAAATACTGCAGAAGTATAGAATATGACATGTATCAATAGGTGGGATTTTTAATCAGTCATTGTAGTAAGTCAGCAAGGGGAACAGGTATTAAACAAAATATTAATTATTCAGCATACACAGTAGCACAGTATCGAGAACTATAGGGAATGTTATGAAAAGTCTCTGTTAAATGCAGAGTAAAGCTAAAATTAAGACTATTCTAAAATGCAAATATAATATGCTATTTAATATGTCATAAAAAAGCCACAAGTTTATTTAATATTTGCTTTTATTCCAGAGTTCTAGAGTTTCTAGTTCTAGAGTTTCGACAACCTCAAACTGAATGCAATCAAAGGCTTGAAATGTGTCATTAAGGCCTAATCTACCCTCAAAAGTTACTGATGTGGCCATTACAGTACTAATAAAGATGTCATTTATTCTGGTAAGATTATTTTTTTGGTTTTGCCAGACACCGTAGTTTACGCAGGTTTGCTGAACAAAATAAGCTGTATCAGCAAAAAAGATATTTTTGCTTGTTCACCAGCACAGCTGGTTAGAGGTATGGTGTCTTTTTCCTCACATTATTGCAGAAAAACTACGTTATCTGGAGTAACTTAAGCATAGCCAAAACTTAAAAGTGCATTTCTGTAACATCTCCAAAGTCTTTTGAGTCAGACCTAAATTTCCCTTCCTCCTGTGAGCTCAGTCAAGACTCAGTGACGCAGGTGAGAGTCTGAAAAGGATGGCACCTCGTGACAACTGGCACTACAGGGAGGTGTGACGGGCTCATGATAAAGGAAAGCAAGATAGAGTTCTGCAATCCCTGTTCTAGGGACAGGCTTACTGAAATCAAACCTGAAATCAGCAGAAGCAGATAATGCTGTAAAATCTTGCTTTGCACTACCTGGAACCTCATATATATTCTATCAATATTAAGACTGATAAAATGAGAGGCGTAATTTAGGGTGAAAATAGCTTTACGCCACAATTACACTCCCTTGGGTCAAGATTAGATCACACACTCTGGTATCAACCTCCACCTTTGCAGGGTCCATCCATCTATCTTCTAGATACATCCCTGTCCTGGTATAAACATACTATCACGAGTGGAGTTTGTGCCAACCACACAGTGCAGTAGTCATACGTAATATCATAACTTTAACTGTCTGAAGGAGCAATCTGCTCTTCTGAGCCAAGAAGTGCATTGGAAGGTCACTGTGGGCTGCAGAAAAGGTAGGGGCATTGGGGACTGTAAGCAACAGATACATCATAGAGTCTGTTCTGAGGCAAAGTCTGCAGTTAAGTTACCTAAGGAGATAAAATTAAGAAATTAGTATGGTTCTGATCGGTTTTGTATTGAAAAAAAAACCCTATGAAACAACTATATTAACCTGCAGTGATCTAGTGGGAATTAAATTGTTTTTAAAATGCACACTAGGTTCAAAAAAATGTATGCAGCTTCCAGAATGAGTCTGCATCGAGAATGGCAAATACAATGAACTGCCTCTCTTGCAGGGATACCTACTGGTAAATTTTGGAATTATCTCAGCTAATGGGTCCACACAGGCCTCAGAGATCCCAGCAGGATGTCCGGATGCTTACCCTAATCCGGAAGCTGCTGACCGACTCCTGTCAAAGATAGGTTGTTCATCTGAAAGGCAAGGAAGATGAGGTCTTTTTACTTTTTCAGTTATATAAAACATAAGTGCTTAAAGTAAGATGTTCTGAAAGGCCACAGTGGAGCAACACTACAAAGGAACAGGTACGCAAGAAATAGGAATAATGCCAATTGAAATTAGAGGATAACATTTCTTCATTAATATCTGTTTTTTACCACTGCACATCAAGAATGATATATAAAAATGTATAGAATCATAGAATCATAGAATTGTCCAGGCCAGAAGGGACCTCCAGATAAAGTATCATAATTGAAAACTATAGAGCTAAATCTGGAAAAACTTTTTGCAAATTTAGATATTTTGCTAATTTAAATAGATATAGGAATTCCTATTGAATTAAAATAGGAATCACATTAGACTTTTAAAGTAGTTGAATAAAGATTTGAATATACAGCCAGTCTTCTCTGTAAGCCTTTATGCAAGGTATTGTGGGCGCATTTCTTAACTTTTAAATATAGATACTTAAATAAATCTATGTCCCAGATTAAGTCTAGATTTTTCTTTCAATAATTTCTATATGAGATAAAAATAACATGTATTTTTCTGACAGGTGTAAGATTCAAACTGAAACATAACATTCATACTACTACACTCAGATCATTCTTTTAGTCAGCATTTCCTACTATTTCAAGGTGTACATGATTTTCTTAATAGGATTCCACAAGTGTAAATGAGTATTTCAATTACAATGAAGCTAGCATTTCACTAGTGATGGTGAGAACAAAACCAGCCCACACTTACTCTCTTATAACTCGTGTGGGCAACAAGCATTTTTCAGTCAGCTAATGATGACTAAATACACAGAAGGAGAAAGCAATGTGTTCGTTTTACAGTTTTTGTTAGTAAGATCTCCAGGTTTTCAAACTGATTTGACGTTCTGTTTATAAAAGACATAGACTTTCTAGTTAGTATGCTACTAGCATTGTTTAAGCACAAAAATTAATTCCTCCTCCTTAATCTTCCTAATGATTTCAAGTTGACTATCCCTCATTGCTTCTAATGCTTGATCTCCCCAAAGACAAAGAACTCATTTACAATATCTTGAGAACTGTAGATGTGCAGGCTCATACTAGGCACTGAGTTGGCATTTGAATTTTGTGACAAACTTTCAGGACATTTGTATACATCTCAGATTTCTTGGCTGAAAATGCAAAGCCATCCATCTCATTAACTACAGTAATACAACTATTATGTTTCTAATTAAAATCTGTTGTGCTTATAAGTAATATATTTATCTTCTCTCCTCCCTGTATAATGAACAGGCCTAGGTAGAACGTAGCCTACTACAGTCTAGAGCTATATGTTACACACACAAAAAAGAAGAAAAATAATCACTGAAATGCTCATCTGATCCATAAAGTGACAATGCTGTTCACAGTATTTTTCCTAGCTGACAGTGCCACCTTAGGACCTCAACTCTGGGTAAGTATTACAGTTCATACTATTTATGTTATGGCACCTTAATGAAAAGTTGTCACTTCACCATGGATTTGTTCGTATCTGCATTCTGCAAAATATCTACATACTTAAACAGGGTATCTCTAGGGAAAGTATTTCCCACCACTACTAATCAACGTGTCAGCTAGGCATTACCCTTCACTTAGGGATGCTTGCGCTGAGGAGGGTCTCTGACTGCTTTGTACGGCATTTTGGAATTAAATCCAAAAGCACTTGCCAAACACCACAGCATTCTACTCTTCTTAGTGCAGAGCTTGAGGAGGAAGGCACAAAACAGATTAAAGTGGCAATGATAATCATGTCACACCTAAATCCACTACACATTTACATGTTCAGCTATTTTTCCTGAAGTATCCAGAAGGCGAGCACCCCTCTAAAAACATTTAATACTTTTAGTTTGACTTAACCACCACCTAATTTTCAAACACACTTAAGTTGCTTTCCTCACATTAAAAAAAAAAAAAAAAGGGCATTGTCTTCTCTCCCCTGTGGCCTCACCAGGCTTTTTGGAGGCGACTCTGGGTGCCTCGCCTCACCCTCCTCCTCACCTTCACCTTCATCCTCCTTCTCACCCTCGCCGTTTCTCTCACCTTCATCCTCACCTCACCCATACCTTCGCCATTTCTTTCACCTTCATCCTCACCTCACTTTTACCTTAGCCATTTCTCTTCACCTTGATCCTCACCTCACCCATACCTTCACCATTTCTCTCACCTTCATCCTCACCTCACCCATACCTTAGCCATTTCTCTTCACCTTGATCCTCACCTCACCCATACCTTCGCCATTTCTTTCACCTTCATCCTCACCTCACTTTTACCTTAGCCATTTCTCTTCACCTTGATCCTCACCTCACCCATACCTTCGCCATTTCTCTCACCTTCATCCTCACCTCACCCTCCTTCTCACCTTCATCCTCACCTGACCCTTCTCTTCACCTTCATCCTCACCTGACCCTTCTCCTCACCTTCATCCTCAACCTTCATCCTCACCTCACCCTCCTCCTCACCTTATCCTTCTCTTAAACTTCATCCTCACCTCACCCATACCTTCATCATTTCTCTCACCTTCATCCTCACCTCACTTTTACCTTTGTCATTTCTCTGACCTTCATCCTCACCTCACTTATACCTTTGCCATTTCTCTTCACCTTGATCCTCAACCGACCCTCCTCCTCACCTTCATCCTCAGCTGGCCCTTCTCTTCACCTTCATCCTCAGCTGACCCTTCTCTTCACCTTCATCCTCGCCTCACCCTTCTCCTCACCTTCACCTTCATCCTCGCCGTTATTCTGACTTTCATCCTCACCTCACCTTCACCCTCACCGCCTCCGCAGGGCCACCCCGACAGGTGGCGGGGCGTTTGCCTCCGCGGCTCGGCTACCACGACCCACATTGTTAGCCGGGTGAGAGGGGGGAGATGATTAAAATAACATGGGGCTGTTCTAGGCGCTAATGGGATTAGCGGCGAGGCCAGCGAGGCGGCGGGGAGCGGGCAGCGCTGCGCGGCGGCCGGGCTGCGGCATGGCGCCCCTCTGATGGCGGGAGGGCAGAGCAGCAGCTGCGCCGCATGGGCGGGGGCGGGATACCCCAGGTAAGCGGGAGGGGAGCGCCCCGGGAGCGGGCAGGGATGGCGGGGAAGACAGGCTTGCCCCGGAGGGCAGGGGAGGAGCGGCCCCCCTGGCGGCCGGGCCTGTGGGGCGAGGGGGCATAGGGGAAGGCCGAGGCTCCACCGAGGGCCTAGCGAGGGGAGGCGGTGGTGGTGGCCGGGCGACAGCCCAGGTGAGGTGGAGGAGAAGGCGGCAAAATGGGGGGCGAGCGGCCTGGTCAGGAGCAGGTGCGGGGCGGAGGGCGAGCTCCGCAGCGGCGGCAGGTCGGGGGGCTGAGAGAAAGGGAGTGCGCCAGCGGCGGGAGGAGGAGAGGAGCGTGGGCCCGGGGGAGGGCAGAGCGCGGCGGGAGGCGGAGGAGAGCGTCAGCTGGAGCGGGGAGAGCGGGAGCGCGGCGGGAGGCGGAGGAGGCGAGCGTCAGCTGGGGGCAGAGATAGCGGGAGTGCGGCAGGAGGAGGAGGAGAGCGTGAGCCGGGGGGGCAGAGAGAGAGGGAGCGCGGCAGGAGGAGGAGGAGGAGGGGAAGAAGCGCGACGCAGGGACGGCAGATGCCTGGAAATAAAAATTTGATGATTGCATGCAGCGGCTGGAGAGACTCTGTCGGTGGCGGCGGCGGGGACGAGGCAGGGACAGGGGGGGCGACGGCAAAATGAAGTATCAGAAATACCTGACTGTCTTGCAGATGGCCATAGGGGTGACCGCCTCCAACAGGGGCAGTCTGATGCCCTTAAAGAGGAAGCTGTGGTGAGTAGGCACAAACGGGGCCGGCGGCACTGCGGGCCGGGCCGCGGCGGGACGGGCGGGGCGGCGGGGGGCTCCCCTCCGACATGACG